CTTTTCCGACCTGGCATAGTCCCACAAAGCGTGTCTGCGCACAGCAGAAACAACACGCCACTCTCGTGTCCCAACACAGTCTCATGCAGCTCCCCACCTGCAAACATCACACCGCCAAAACTTGGCAAAGACAGTAGGAAGGACATACCAGTCCTACCGACTGAAAATGCCAATTTTCACAAGGTTGCACCCACATCAGGGGAAGACAGAATTACAAAAGCACCACTTGCATCCACTGGCAAGCTCGGCAACATATAAAGGCTGGCCAGATCCTGATGAAGCCTAATGTTGCTGATGATGCAAGGGAATACAAGAATCCAAAGGCCAAACCTAAGTCTTAGGTTAGTCGGTCTAACTCTCTTATCCTCTTCAACGTACCTATGAGCAAGGATAGCTTGCTTGAACAACGGGCCCCGTTTGATCAGGAACGGTGGTTCAACCTGTGCAACAAATCAGGCCTGAACACTAGTTCAGCAAAATTGTGAAGGCTGTGCAGGGGTGTCCACACGCCTCAGGGTAAGCCACCTTCGTTAAGGGTTACACTGGACTCTGCTGAAGAGGCCGAAAGAATACTATTAATTGCTCAGGTATTAGCCATCGATGGAAGTTCTTGCATAAGGGTGAGACATGACAAACCATGGGCTAACACACAAATGGTGAGGGAGTCACCGGAACTGATACCTTCTACCTCTATGGTCGTACACGGTGTTCTGGAGCTGGGAACGGGCACTGCTTCTGAAAAACACATGCATGACGTACAGCAATCGAGATGGCTGTCATCTCAGATGGCCCCTGGCGCTTCTGGAGCCATCTTTATTTTCCGACTACCTCGCCCCGCTAGTCTCACACTGATTGTCCTTTCAAAGCTGCTAAGTGTCACATTCAACTCCCCGGAGCAGTTGTCCATAGCACTTCAACGGTGGCATGAGACCAGGGGAAATATTGGAGGACACATCCGGTGCTGCGAAATCAGACCCCGAACTATAAGGAGGCAGCAAACGAGGCTTTAATGCGTCCCCAAGCCTCAGTGGCACTAGAGCGATGCAGTGCCGGGAATAACAGTCTGTGTCACCCAAATGTCCTACCTGAATCCATGGAGAAAAACTACAACGGGCCGGTTTTATCAGAATCATCCAACTGGTCCCAACATTAAGTCCCCCACCAGCGGACAGCTTCACGTCAACTACTCCAAAACACGCTGAGATTTTTAGACTCACTGTCAGCTGCCTATATAGCAATGTGAGGGGGCTGAGAGGGAAAGTAAGTGAACTCCGAAATCTCCAAACACACCTACAACTGAAAATGATCACTCTCACTGAAACGTGGCTAAACCTCACCATGGCCGACAATGAAATCAGTATAGTTGATATGGTTATGGTCAGGAGAGATAGGGATAATGAGGAAGGAGGGGGAGTTGCGACTTAAGTGTGTGCGCGCAACGGACCCACCACTTATTGAACTCCCAGACTCCATATGGTGTCGTTTCACCGTAGGCCACACCAAGCACTTACTGGGTGGCATCTACCGATCTCCCACCTGCGGAGCAGAGCACAAATAGCTACTGCTCAGCACTATCACGGGGATACGAGATTTGGGCTTCGAAAAAATCACCATAGCTGGAGATTCCAATGCCCCGTCACTGAACCTTGGCTCGGAGTATGCTAAAGGTAAATTTGGCCAAAACCTACTGCAAACTATTCGAAACACGGGATTGACTGAGAATGTTGGAGACGGCAGTAGGTGAGGCCCTAGTGGAAAGTAATCAAAACTAGACTGCATTCTAGCTAGTCACTAACTACTCGTCGAAAAGGTCCAGATCATGACTCCTCTAGGAAGCAGTGACAATGCAGTCATAGGTTTCGATCTTGTTCTCCGTGAGGGTTTGCGGTGGGATGTTACGCGACCATGTATGTGTTACGGCAAGACTGACTATGCTGAAATGCGGAGGCTCTTGTCCGACGCAGACTGGCCCTTAGCATGGGACGACCTATCTGTGGATGAACACTGGGAAGTGGTAAAAAAGATTATCCATACAGCAATCTTGGATACCGTCCCTTTAGTCACAACACAGCCCAAGAGAAAGACGTCATGGTTGAAGAGAGGCACGCAACGTATTCTGCAAGCAAAGCGGAAGGCTTGGTTTACGTGGCGCGTATCTAAGAGTCAGACCAACCGCGATGCGTACCTGGAACTCAAGAACCGGTGCAAAGCAAGAGTCAGGAGGGGCAAGAGGTCATTCCACGCTAACCTTGCAAGAAACTCTTAGCAAGCCCCAAAAACTTGCACCGATTAATGCCGGAAAGATAACCAACAAACCAGGAGGCACGCGCCTTAGATGCCCAAAATGTCAAAGTCAGCCACGTTTCATAAACCGTTAATGCCCAGCTCTTGCTGCACTCGGGCTCACGCTGTTCCTTGAAGTTTCTCAGAAACGCTTAGTAATAACGGACGAAAAATCCAAAACACCAATTGGCGACTCGAGGATTCTTTATTGTAACACCAACATATAAACACTGTTACAACTAAGGTCTGTGAACAAATATTACAATAATAAATCACAATATTACTTCTGACGGTTTGTTGCTGACTTCTTTCTGAACAGCGACCGATGAGACGATGACTGTCGTATTGATGTCTCCGCGAAAATTGGGGAAGTTGGTTTAGAGCAAACAACCATGAATTGATCGTTCAATCTTCAACTACATTGACAGTCAATGTCTCACTAGTGTGAAGATGGCTGAAACATTCAATTCAGCCTTCACTTATCAGCCAAATATCAATGTGGGTATTACGGCTACGGACCAAAATGGTGGCACCACTATTTCATAGGAGGAAGACGTAGTGGATACTCCCCAAATAAACCCCGCAATAATACTGAGGAAGCTACAGGGACTCACACCTGGGAAGTCTCCAGGTTGTGATGACATCAGGCTATCTGTTCTGAAACAGTTAGCCGAAGCTCTCTGTAGGCCCCTGTGTGACTTGTTCCAACACTCAATGGATTCGGGGAAACTGCCAAGGGAGTGGAATAGAGCCGTCCTTTCTCTAATCTTCAAGGATGGGGACAGGCAACATACCACTAGTTATAGACAAGTAGCTCTAATCCCAGTGGTATCAAAAGTACTGGAAAGTATTATTGACGATCACATCAGGGAATATTTCTTTAGGTTTGATATACCCCATAAGGCCCAGCACGGCTCCAGGAAATGCAGATCTTGCGTTACTAACCTACCATCAGCTTGGGACGATTGGATATCATGCTGGGATATGAATGTTCCAGTCCATGTGGTCTTCCTAGACTTTGAGAAGGCATTTGACACTGTTAACCGTGTTCTTCTCCTACATAAAATAAGCCAAGCAGGTGTAGGTGAGCCACTTCTGTCATTGCTAAAGGACTACCTAGCTGACAGGCAATTTTGCACTAAGGTCAATCGAGTCCGATCATCTTGGCGCAGCTCGTCATCAGGAGTATCTCAGGGTTCTATCCTAGGACCACTGATGTTTTTGATTTTTATCAATGATCTACCATGCCGTCTAAGCTGCCCGACTCTTCTATACGCTGACGACATTAAAATATGGAGGGCGGTAAAGTTTCTGGAGGACTCAGATAGGCTGCAGGAAGATCTAAACCTTCTGGAAGACTGAGCAGTGGTCAGTGGCATGACCTTCAACCTGGAAAAGTGCACAGTAGTGAAGTTACGCACCTGTCGACTGCGGAATGCAAGTTATACCCTGTGAAATGAAAGCTTGTCCTGCACAACGTCGGAACGTAACTTAGGCGTAGTTCTGGCGGAAAAAAATGGACACAAGCGTAAATTACAAGGGGGATGTAGCGAGGGCATATGCGGTCATACACTTTACACATAGACAGTTAGTTGCACTCACTCCTGAGCTGTTTCTAAGGTTGTACAGAACATACGTCAGACCACACCTTGAGGTGCATAATATTATTGCACCCCCAATGCTTAGAAGAGACGCCAACCTCTTAGAAATAGTCCAATGCGGGCAACAAAAGGAGTGGTTGGTCTCCGAAATAAATCATATCATGAAAGGCTGAAGAAACTAGGCCTGTTCACACTTAGCTACCGACGTCTTAAGGGGAATTTAATTACTGCCTACAAAACAAAAAATGACCAGAATCACCCAAGCAAAGGTGTTCTGCCATTGAGTAGGTATAGGCTCCCTCGTGGAAACCCCAGAAGGATAGCTCACCAGAGGGCAAGGACCCGGGTGCGCTCCTACTTCTTTTCACTGCGGGTTTGCCGTCCCTGGAATTCCTTACCGGCAGATGTAGCTATGGCACTGTCTTTGGACTCCTTTAAGTGAAAGCTGGACAACCATGCAGCGACGCAAGGGCTGCATCAAAATGGCCTATCCCCTTAAAATCGCATACACCATTCAGGGATAGACAATTAAACTTAACGTTTTTCTTCTTTACATTCTCTCCCGTCTTACTCTCCTGACAACTTTAACTACACTTATTATTATCATCATTATTACCGATATATATATATATATATATATATATAATTCATATTATTCTTCAAATTTAACCAGCTGACAGTTGTTACGTTTTCTCATTTCCCTTTCTGTCTGTTGGTCTGAATAACTTCACTAATTATATCTATTATTACCTCTTTTCTCTTGTCGATGATACCGGAAAACTAACTGGCGAAGGGATCAGCTCCATTTTTACAGTAGTAACGGTCTTAACACATCTCATACTACAAACCACATATAATTAATCCCAGCACTACTCCCTTTGGAGTCAACCAAAGCTACGACAGTCAAGTGGCGGGACGAACTGCGCAGGAGTTTACCGAAGATCAGGAGCCTATACCTTACAATCAGGAAGCGAGCACAAAGAAATCAAATTGGTTTATACTAGCTCGTAAAACCGACATTGGATATTGGAAGTGACCTTCAAGTGCTCAGCCTCTCCATAAGCCATTTGTACAGCTATTCTCTGTCGCCATTTGCGCCGCTTCTCTCTGTCCCAGTTGTTATCGTGTTGTTGTGTGCGGCCTATTCTACGTAAGATAATTACTTTCTGTCTACCGCATTTTTATGTAGCGTCCGCTATACTTATTTTCGAAGCAAATAGTTTTTATACATTCTAGTAAATGCAATAGTTATTCATTGCACATCCGTGGATAAGTTTGAATGAAGGAATATCAGTAATCACAAATAAAACATTCTGGGAAATTTGGCTTCAAACCATTGTGCACTAGCCTGAAGGGATATGCAATATCCTCCCTCCTCAGAAAGAGGTCTCAAACCCTTAAAAAAATACCACCTATATGGCTCCTCTGAAACCCCGAATTTTTTTATTTGCGGAGTTGATTTATTATCACCTAGCTCAAAGTATGCGTGGTAAAAACAACAATTGGTCCTTTGCAGTCGAGGCTGCTCAAAACAAACGGACAGGGGCGAATAGAATTCAAGTAGGTTAGCCTACTTGAATGCCATGTTTTGCAAGGTTTTTCCCATACATCAGCATCACACTATTCCGTTAGTGCATTTGCGAGAATTTGCTACACTCGAACCGATACCGTAGTGTCGCGATTTTTTCATTTGTAACTGTCACTTGTGTTCCTATCTACGCATGAGTTCCACAACTCCGGACCAAACTGTTTAGGATTGTCAAAAATAGTTATCAGTATACTGTTAGAAATCCTAAGATCCATCGGCCTGCGCTCATTTAGTCTCACCGCTAATTACCAGGTGAATGGCTTCACAGCTAGCAACTATGTTTTTATATTTTCAAGTTTGTACACTGTGAGTGATAGGAAAAATTTATTTGTTAGTTAGGTTAATCACAAAAAGCATTCCTTGTTTATCTTTCCGAAGAATATTGGCCCTTTATATTACACTCCAATTTCGATACGCCTTGTTACTAGGGTAAAATAACTATTTAAACTTTAGTGTGTCTTGAGCTATGTTGTCGTTCTAATGTCCCTTTATACGGACTCCTGTTAGTCTTCACGATAATATTGTGTCGGTATACAACTAAAATTGCACTGTATCATTTAAGAGTGAAATGGATGTGCAATTCTGTTTAAAATGTGGCTCTAACTGTTCGTTTATACTTAGTGCCTGTGATAAAATCTATTTGGAAATGTGCATTATCTGTGTATCGATTTGTGTTGTACCACTACAACTCTCAACTTTTCCTCTCCGTTTGTCCATATACATATATATTGCAAATCTCTTTCTGCTTAATTATTTAGGATGACACAAAATACCAATATTCCTGTCAATTATCCAATGATGCCGCCAATGGACGATATGAATAAGTATGCACATTTACTACAAGTTATTGAAGAAATGGGACGCGACATTAAGCCGACTTATGCCAACAATAAGAATGCTGCAGAGAGACTAAAGAAAAATATTCATACTGCCAGAATTTTAGTCAGAGAGTGTGTTTCAGAACTTGAGCGAGTAATGAGAACGTAAACGAATGTCCTTTTTTTGTCAAGAATAAAATGTTTTATATTCTCTTATTTGTGTACCCGAAGGCTTATATTTATTCGTGTACTTCGCTGAAACATCACGTTTTATACTTGCAATATATACTTCAACAAGTTAGGGCATGGTAACATGCTGATAGGTAATTCCAACTGACTGAGCAGTCAGCATAGAGGTGTGCACAGAAATGCATCATTTTACCATATTACGCATCGGACAGAAATGTAACATAAAGGAATTGATATTAAGCGACATTATCATAGACAGTCAAATGTTAAAGAGAGAATAGTTGAATAAAGAACACTAAAGCTTTCAGGAGTACATTTCTATCTCAACTTTAACAATGTCCCAAAGTCTGTCTGTCTGTTTTCGACATAGAACTTTACACATGTGCGGCAGTTAAAGTCGCCACACTCCATGTAGCACGCAAAGCAAGAGAAGAAAGTAGAGGAAATGCATAATAGAGGCAGTAAGCAGAGGTGTGAGACAAAGCAAGAGTAATAACGAAGAACAAAACAGTTTCATTGGAGATCATAAGTCATAAGGAGTGGATGCATCTGCGCCATTGAGAACGATTTTGAGCCATGTCACCAATTGTTTCTAACCGTTGGTTTTTACCGTCCCGAAGACCCCAAACCGGAAGTCAGTCTACACTTTCCTACGTGGCTTAGACTAACTGTTGTAGATTTCATTGACTGGTACCATGTTTTGGTTTGACCACCGCTAGCTCTTTTCCAGCCTGACCCTATATCAGCTCGTCGAGGAAGGCATACGCAATACATGTCCCAACCATCTCAGTCTATGTAACTTCGCAACCTCATCGGTTGATTTCCCCTATTTACCTAGAACTCGACGCCTAACCTCAATATTGCTCACCTTATTATACCACTTCACACGGGAAATAGAATGCAGGCACCTATGATCAAAGACAGCTAATCTTTTCATGTCTTCCACTCTCAATGGCCAGGTCTCACAGCCATAAGGGAGGACGGAGCGGACTAATGGGCATTACACCCGCCCTTTGGTCGATAGTCGGATATCTCGTCTACGCCAGAGTCGGTGTAAACTGGCATATACGAAACTAGCCCTGTGTATCCGTGCTGAGATTTCATCAGAGATCAACCCGTTGGCACTGGCTGATGGTACTTCCCAAATAAGTGGGGCGGTCAACGTGCTCTACCACTTCACTTCCTATTTCTAATATAGGAGTCAGTGTAGTCCAGTCCTGTAACATCATCTTGCATTTGGTGGGAGCGAATCGCATGTGAAATATTCGTAGATTGCAGCTCAAGGTGTTTAGAAGATTCTGCATTTTTGTCAGCGTCCTCGCCTAGAAGGACTATGTCTGCATATTCTAAGTCAACTAGATTATTCCCTGGTAGCAAGTCAATCCCTGAGTCGCTGAAGTCACTTAGGGTTAAGTCCATTAGTACATCTATGATGAGGTTGAGTAGGAAAGGGATCATAGGCGTCCTTGATGGACACCGCTAGTCGTCATCAGTTCAGATGACAACTCGACGTAAGCCCTCACCTGGCTGCATGAGTAGGAGTAGAGTGCCTTAATCAGTGCAATGTATTTTCTCAGCATTCCCTTTACAGCCAAGCATCTCCAGAGAACCTCTCGGTCGACAGAATCGAATTCCGCCTTTAGGTCAAGAAATGTAATGATTGTTGGACGCCGGTAGGAATTCCTATGTTCTAGAATCTGTCGGAGGGTGAAGATATGACTAATACACCCTCTTCCTGGTCTAAAGCCTGCCTGGTTCTCTCGTGTTTGTGCCTCCCGAACACCACTTAGTCTACGCAATATTATTGAGCCTAGGACTTTACATACTATATTAGTCAAGCTAATCCCTCTGTGATTATCACAAGAAGACTTGTCTCCCTTCTTGTATATGGGGATAATCAGTGACTTACACCAACCCAACGGGACTTCTTCTGATTTCCAGACGCTGCCTAGAACCTCAGTTAATGCAGACAGTAAGCTGTCTCCACCGTACTTAAATACCTCTGGAGTCATTCCATCAGGTCTCGTTGCTTTGCCTTGTTTCAGATCAGTGACAGCTTTAGAAACCTCAGTTAAGGAAGGGGGACCTGTGCCTATATCCCATTCAGGGAGGTGTTGGATGTTGGGCAGGTTGAACGTGGCTGTACGCGAATTAAATTGTTCCTCATAGTGTTCTTTCCAGCGTTTCAGTTGTCTATCCTGGGAGGTGATAATGGTGCCATTTTTCTCCGAGATTGTTTCACTTATGATTTGCCTTCTCCCACCCGTTTCCCTGATCAGTCTAAAGAGTTGCCTATCGCCGATGCTTTTTCCATCTCTTTCGCCCTTGTCACCCACCACTGTTCACGGTCCTTGCGGAGACTTTTCGTAAGTTTCCTTTTGTGCAGCTTCCGCTCCTCATTGAATCCGGAGCTCGCCGGAATAAGTCTTCTAGCATCTATCAGTTCGGCTTAGGCAGTCGAAATCCAATGGTGTTTACTCACCTTAGAGTTTACCTTATTCGCAGCTTTTACAGCTGTATCTATGGCTGCCTGAATATTCTTCCAAGCTTCTTCTGGGTGAGCACAGATGTCGAACATAGATATGTGTTTAGCTAGTTCTTCCTGAAATACGGATTTAGTTTCCTGATCGAGCTGGGGACGTGATGGTTTTACCGCCAGCTGTTTCCTACGTCCGTTCAGTCGTAAGTCCACCTGAGCGCGGATCAGAGCGTGATCGGTATCTACACACGTGTTCCAGAAGGAGCGACAATCTCCTACCGACCCACGCCAACGATAGGTTATTGCTATGCGGTCTATTTGTGTCCAGTGTTGGTTTGATGAAGGGGGTCGCCAGGTCAAACAGTGTCTCTCCTTGTGTTTGAAGTTAGTGCTTACAAGAATCAAATGATTATCTGAACAGAACTGTAGGAGACGGTCACCGTTGTCGGTTCGCTGGCACGGAACTCCATAGGTGCCACTAACATCCTTCTCAGATTGACACAATTTCCCTACTTGAGCGTTAAAGTCACCAGCTAGAACGACTATATCTGAGCGTTTAGCCTTTCGCAGCGAACTAGACAGCTTTTGGTAGAACTCATCCTTCGTTTTATCCGAACTGCAGTCAGTGGGGGCGTAGGCGGAGATTACGAAATGGCATCGGCGAGTAGTGCAGTCCTTTCTCCTTCTAACTGACCCGTTTAGACGGACAGCACACATTCGGCTATCTACCGGGATCCATTCAAGTAATGTCTTTTCTGCCCTAGTACTCAAAGCTATCCCTACACCAGCTAATCCTCGTGAACTAGCTGTGGCATCTCCTGACACCCTCAAGGTGAATTTCTCAGATTCATCCTGTTGGCCAGGTAGGGTTAGGTGAGTAACCACACTTGGGTCTTGTATGCGTGTTTCTGAAACACAACATACATCAATGGCTCGGGACGCCAGAGTCTTGGCTAGTGATGCTTGTTGTCTCAAAGAGTCTTCGATCATCGGTTTTCAGCCCCACCCAAACAATTAGCACTGTTCAGAGTAGTTTACACCAAGTCAGCGAACTTTAGTCTGACTACTACTTCTTGTTTAAGCTAACATTGTTTATAAGTTAAGGAAATAAAGCCTCTGTACAAGTTTAGAGACGTAAGGATGAATGAACCAGGTAAACCTTGTTGAAAAAAATAGCAGATGGGAGGACGTATATTGTCAAATGCTTTGTTTTGAACTGTGTTCTGTTAACATCTTAATCACACACACTTCTGGTTTAAATTTCTCGTATTCTCCTATCTTAGTGCTTTGGTGTTAGAGAAAACAGTAATGTTGTTAACAACGACTATTCCTTAACTACTCTGGATGTGTAACTGTAAAACTTGAGGTAGATTTTAAAGAAATGTCTCCTGTTCATTGATCTCATTTAAACAATTCGGTAAAATATTTGATACCTTTGAGCTCTATCGAGCAAGAGTTATGTGTTCGTCTGGATGTGTAATTAACTTACCAGTATTTACTCAGGTTTACTGCTTGGTTTATATTTGTATAGTTGTCTTTGTATTTCCTACACTTCATGTATGTTACTGATCGGTACCACTTTCCTCTCAACAAAATCTTTGTAATGTGATTCATTAACCTCGAGTTTTTTTATAACTGCTGGTAAGTATTTGTGAGTAACTATTGTCTTAGAAATGTGGTAGATTAAGTAATAATAATTCATGTTGTGACTCAGTGGTTCAGGGGAAACCTAGCGTATAGCCGGAATCCGATGCACTCTTAAAAACTCACCTAGCAGGCAGTGAACCCGGGGAGGAGGGGAGATTGAGTGTGAGACTAGGTATCCCACTCTGTAGAAACAACACAAGGACTATTGGAACTTCGAAGATTAGCGCCTGAAGCCCTATATCTACTTGGAACGCAAAGGCATGAAAGAAAAATACTGCAAGGTTTGTCGTATATAATGTATCCTGCGTGTTCAGGCTGATGTACTCCTCGTTACGGTGAATGGTATTCATAGCAGAAAGGTTTTAGAACTCTGTTTCTTTTAAGTTGTCCTTTGAATGTATAGCAACTGGTACATTCATATAAGCTAATAACAATAATTCTACCATGGACTAAATTTATTTGATAAAGTCCCATAGTGTTATACAGTATTATTTGCTGATCATCATCACTGTATGCGAAATTCTGGTACGTAACATGTACTTTAAAATTAGTTTCCGAAATAGAGTTAATTGGTGGACTCGTCTTTCTAACAAATTTTGCCTTATAAGCTTATAAATATTTCTAAGCCCTCAACTAAGCTTCTTTCCATATAGCGATCAATTCACATACAGCTATTTAGTGGTACTTCTGACTTTTACTTCTAGTGTAACTGATATATCTGTAAGCTTTAAATTCTCATTAAACAAATGGGGAGCTTCTTGAGCTATACTGTGTTCCTGATCACTTCAGCCTTCTTCGGTGAAAACATATTGTCATGAATTGGCAGAAGTTAGAATTCATCCACTGGCCATTGC